CACACACACACACACACACACACACACACACACACACACACACACCACATGTTTAAGTAGAGCGTACTGAATGTCAGATAAACTGCCAAACACCACGACCGCTTCAACACTTCTTCCACTGCACTCGTCTCCGTCGGTCACGCTGAAACACGGAGCGACCACGTTTACATCTCCATCGCCTCCGGAGGTCAGAGCGCCGCAGCAGCGGGCGTGTGACGGCGTGTGATGTGTGGAGTTCACTTCCTGTAGAGTTTAGTAACAGCGGGATGGGAACTCATGCTTTTGGTGTATTGATGCGTTTCAGCACGGGATTCAAACCCGCCATGCTCCACTTTTTTCTCACTGCGAACGACAAAAATTAAATGATAAAGAAAAAAAAAACAATAAGTGTCCATTCCGTCATCTGTCGTCGACATGTTGCCTTACTTGAATCTTGTTCTTTCTGATCTCAGACCATCGTGTACAGAGCTGCTTCACCACACTTTAAACATTAAACCCTGCAGACCCCCTCAGACCCCTCAGACCCCCCATAGACCCCCTCAGACCCCCTCAGACCCCCACAGACCCCCTCAGACCCCCTCAGACCCCCTGCAGCAGAGTCCTCCTCTTGACTGATGCGGATCAGTTCTCAGACCTTCTCCCCGATCTCTACATTGGTTTGGGTTTGTTGGTTTGCTGATGATCACTTCCTGTTCTCCCCGACTTTAAACATCTCGACCAATGAGAGGAAAGACTAATCTTCTTCTGAAGCCTTTTCCACACATGCACTCCTGGAAGTTTCTAGACATACGTTCAGGAGAGACGGGAGACTTTCCCAGTCTGACCCTCTGTAAAATAGATGAACGGCGCTCCCCAGAGTGCGGCGCCATAATGACAGTTTTTGTCTTCTTGTAATTGGACGTTTTCAAAGTTTCAACAAACGAGCCCAAAGAGCGTTGAGCAGCTTCTTTTTTTTGTCATGACCCCTCCCGCTCGCCTGTGAGTACTTCCTGCTCGGTCTCACATCTGCTCACCCTGATTGTTTTTTTTAATGGGGGGGGGGGGGGGGACAGTCTGGTTTACGTCGGGGGTGAATCACTCGCCCGCCGTGTCCGCAGAGTTTCAGGAGTTTTTTTGCGCGTGTGAAAAACAGTGGATGATGATGATGTCACTCCATGTGGTCGGACTGTGATGTCATGAACTGTGAAATAAGTGAAACTCACCTTCTGGTGCTTCCTGGGGTTATCACGTGCATCTTTGTTTACATCTTTTTTTTTTGTTGTTCTGCATTCCACGTCTGACGTTGTTTAATAAATAATAATAATTAATGAAGAATTCTCATTGTTAAAAAAAACGGATGAGTTTGACCTCCTGGTGCCCGCTGTGTGCGACGCAAACCGGAGGGCGTCGGCTCGTCTGGTGTTTAACTTGAACTAAGACGCTGAAGCGTGTTGAGCACATTGTGCCATTTGGAGCTGTGGGAGCTGTGGAGCTGTGGAGCTGTGGGAGAGGATGAAGAGCTGCTGTGTTTCAAAAAACCAGAATCAGGGTGTTTTCTGTTTGCTTCATCTTCCTTTCCAAACCGTCGGACATGACACTTTGTCCTCTTCCTGGTTTTCACCCCGCTGTCTTTTCTTTTCGCTGCCTTTAAAGCCACAGACGGACGGACGCCTCTGTGTGATTTTCTTCTTCTTCGCTGGCTGCTGTAGCATGTAGCCTCGTTTGCTTCTTCTTTCCTCCACTCGCTTCCTTTCTGTAAAGCATCAACTCCATTATTCTCTGAGGAGGAGTGTGATTTTGGTATTTTGTTTTCTGGGTGCGAGATTTTTGGAAAGTTCAAACCATGGACTGTATATGAAATATGGACAACACTTCTCCGTCTTTATGTGAGTTACAATGTGAAGCCAAAATCCCCCTGACGTATTGCACTGGTGATCTAAGTTGGTGCAGAGATGTGTTCATTTTTATGATGCTTGAGTTTTATCTGACGGAGTGAGAGAGTTTAAAAAGTTCCCGCGCTGAGTGAGAGAGAAAACATTCTTCTTATTTATTGCGATGATGTCAGACCTTTTAGCGGCAACGATCAAACTGCGATTTATTGTGCAGAACGTGAAGAACGTGAAGAACGCTGCAGGAGCCGCATTCCTCAACAGAGCGGTCAGTCGTTTAATCCGCTCCTGGACCTGAATCAGCGTGAGAAGAAAACATGTTTTGCCGTGTTTTTTTTTTTAGTTTTGAAGTTTCCTCACATGTCGAGGCGCCGCTGGCCTAGTGGTTAATTCACGCGCTTCATGTACGGAGGCTAAAGTTTCAAGGTGACCCTGGTTCATTCAACCTGTGGATATGTCATCCCTCTCTTTCTCACTCCCCCAATTTCCCTCTCTATCCACTTCCTGTCTCTCGTGTTAAGCCCACGTTTCCCACTTCCTGTCTGTGCCTTAAAGGAGGCGGGGTTAATGACCTGTCTGCAGCCAGTCAGCAGGGGGAGCTTCTAAAATCTTTTGGCTTCTCTCTTGAGGAG